TGCAGGACGGTACCCACTTCGTATGCGAAAAGTCTCTCCGGGTCCACGTCTGCGCGGCCGACGAACGAATTTGCGCGATCCAACATCTGGACCACAACGTCAGAAGATGTTCGTTTACCGGCAAGGACTTCTACCTGAACGATTACGAACCGGAGGTTGTGGGACGCGACCTGCCTCTGTTCGTGGGACAGAGACGAGACGCTTCCAGGACGCGGAGTAGGGACGGCGCCATGGCACGTTTTGCGGACGCGGTTGACAGGGTGTTGAGAAATCTCACGAACCGAGAAAAGCGACGTGAGTACAACCGCGCGTTCTTCGTGAAGAGAGGACGGGACATCGTCGTGAGAAAGTTAGAGAGGGAGACCAATTTGATGCAAGCTCTGAGGGAATCGTTCCTTGTGCACTTCTCTTCCGAAAGGTTACCGGACGAGGGTGCTGCGATCGATGAATCGTTTCTGGATGACGTCAAGCAGTTTGTGTGCGACCTGATGACGCTTCTTCTCTGCTATTCCGAACAGACTGAATCGAAGAAGCATTTCTTGCTATCGAACTCGGACGAAAGTACTTTGTACCTGCTCAAGAGGACCGTGTACGGCGTTCGTTTCGAGAACTCCGTCCTGCTACTGCCTAGGTTCCATCGGCTGAGACCACTTCCCGGAGACCGGCTGCTGCCTCAGATATTCGAGGTGAGCACATCCCGTCTGACGGAATGTTCGAGTCTGCTGCAACGGATGATGGGCGAGAAGATGTTCAGGTTTCGGATGAAACAATTAAATCGTAAAAAACTTTAACTTTTCGTCTCTGTTTCTTTCTTTTTGTCAAATTGTCATTCGTGTGCATGCGCGAAGATGCTGCTGCAGCAGCAGCTGCTGCGGAGGCGGCGACGACGACCTCGTTGTCCTCCGATATTCCGCGTGGCGCCGGAACAACCGAATCAGGTTCCGTTTTCTTGGACGATCTTCTAACCGTTTCGGGTTCCACGTACCAAGAGGTGAGGCCGACAAGGAGGAGCCGCAAAATCGTCGGTGTTGTTTAAAAAAATAAAAACAAATTGTAAGGGCAACTAGAGTTCCCGGTCTCGCCGGCACTTCTACCTCGACAGCCGACGAACGATCGGCGAGATCCCGAGAGAAGAAGAGGAAGGCGCCGACGGAAAAGGCGAATGCTAAGCAATCTCGCATGGACGACAATTACGAGAGGCGTGTTCACGCGCATCTGGGCGACCCCGAACTCATCCGACGGGGTTGATGCGCATGGTTTCCACTGCGTACAGATCTGGAAACGCACCGTCGGGTTCGATGATGGGTCTGTCCCCTCAGCTGGTGCGCGTCAACGAATTCGAACGTCGATTCGTCGACGCCTTCGTCTCCGGAACCGTGTGCGGCGACATGGAGACCGACCAAGGGAACCCGGACGGCGCGTGCGATCTCAAAGGTTTGTTCGAATGCCTGTGCAGTCTGCTCTCCCTGCTGGCGAAGATTCTCGAGACAAACGAGTACAGCGAGATGAAAGAGAGCGTGAGAACCATGTGTGACTGTCTGTTCCTCGGCGGTAGCTTTCTGAACTATAAGAAAGAGAGAAAGCTCTTCACCTTCAAGGAAGGCAAGTTGATACAGAACAAGATCGCGTACGCGCGCGATCTCAAGAAGATGATAGCCGTGCCCGGCATCGAGTCGCCCTCTCCTTACATCGGCGATACCAAGCCGTACATGCAATTCGGCAAATACTATCCGGACACGAGGTGGACGGCGAAGGAGTTCTGTCGAAAGCTGTTCACGAGTTCCCGCGACAACGACTCGACGCGAAAATTGATGTTGAAGAAGGATACCGGTCTCGACGACGAAGACTTCGAGAAGCTCGTACGTGCGTGCTTTTTCGTGAAGAACGTCGAGATCGGAACCACGTACCGGCTGTTGCGGTACGTGGCCGATATCGAGTCCGGCGTTGCATCTCGTCTTGACCTGTCTCGTGTACGGGCGCGTCGTGCACCACCTCGCCGCCGAGGACCTCCCTCTGCGACCATGCACGTGGACTCTCCTCTTCGGACGCAGCAAGGAGATCGTCGAACAATGGAGCGACGAAAGGATCGAAGCCGAGATAGTCAACGCCGAACGAGTTTGGGAGGACAATCTCCTCGTCGCGGGACACGCGCAATACCTGAACATCGGAATGAAGGAAGATCGAGCGAGCGTCGCGTGGCTGAAGAAGACGGCGGACGTGATAGAGTCGGAGTTCGCGAGTTTCAAGAAGGTGGCCTTGGACGTGGATTTCGACCGACTGTTCGGATCTGTCGTTTCTTACGTGCAAGAACGCGATTTCCTCAAAAACAGATTGAGAGACGACAATCTCGTAAGGAGCGTCGTTGACGAACTAGAGGAATTCCGGTCGCAACTGCCCCCTTTCGGGACCCCGACGGGAGACGACCCAACGAGACAGGACTGCTCTCATTACGAAGCGAACGTCTCGGCAATCTTGCTGAACGTCCTCTGCAAGTTCCCTTCCGCACGTATGACGGGTGCGTCGATAGCGTTGGACACGCCGACTAAAAGCGTGGAAGCAACCGAGAGATGTCGTTACGATCTTTCGGAAGCTAGCTACCGAAACCTGCTTCGGTTAGAAGAGAGGGTTCCAAGCCGTTCGCGTCCAGACGAGCGTCCGTCGACGTTCGACGATCGAGGAGATTCCGGCGCCGCCGACGAGCTCTTCGACGCTTTGGAACGGTACGACGACGGAGAAGAAGAGAATACCTTCGTCACGCCACCGGAGGAGTTGGAGGTCGCGAGGTTACCCGCGGATCGTGCACCGCAGCAACGGCAGCAACAGTATGCGGAATCCGTGTTGGATTCCGAAGCCCTCGGCGACCTTCCCGTGATCACTGAACTTGAGGAAACGACGGGAACTGGAAGGAGAGTGGGCGACCGCGAAGGCCCTCCATCCAATTTCCCGTACGACTTCAATTCGCAGGACTATCGCGACATGGAAGAAACAATCGAAAGAGAAGCTGCCAACGAGGACGACGACGCCGGCGACGACGACGGGGCAGCGACGCCGACGGGAGATCTTCCACCTTACGCGGACGAGGAAAGTTCGCTATTGACGCCAAACGAGAAGTGGGTGGACGCGAACTGGAAGCAGTACACTTCTGGATTCCTTCAGGAAAACGAAAACGACGATCTGGAGTGGGATCCTTCTCAAGACGTTCGACGAATCCCAGACAAACCGGAGACGCACGCGAGACCCACGTCGTCTTCGACGCCGGCGACTCCCAAGTCCGTAGCGCTGGAAGATCTCGATGATCACCGTCGAGAATAGGCGAAGGAGAACGAACGTACGTTGGAACTGGGCAACCAGAAGCTGAACGAGGTGCAGAACAAACTTGCGGAAAAGGAGCGAAAACTCACCGAAGCCAGAGTCGTCATACACAAATTAAAAGACGAAATACACGAGGCGAAGATGTCCGCGTTGAAAGAATCGTCCGACGTTCGCAGCATCGCTTAGCAAGAGGTCGAACGTCTCAAGACCGAACTCGCTTCCAAGACGGATGCCCTGAAGGAAAGGGATCTGGACATGGTTCGCTTGGAATCGGATCTGAAAGCCGCGAGGAGAAAGTCGAAGCAGCCGCCACCTGAAGAGAGCGGACTCGAGCTGCAGCAAAAGCTGCAGGAAGCCGTCCGCAAACTGAAAGACCGAGAGAGATCGCACGCCGACTTGGAAGAGGAGTTTAAAGAGAAAGGCGACAAAATCAGTGCGCTGAAGAAAGAGTCGACGCTCGCTAAGACCGCGATGTCCACGTACGAAAAGCGGGTGGACGTCTTGGAAGAAAACCTGAAAACGGCTTGCAAGCGATACGACGAGGAAGTGAAAAGCAGACGGATTGTGGAGGCGGCCGCGAAAAAGGCAGACGAGCACGCGCAATCCATGGCCGACAAGAACGTCGAATTGAAGCGAGAACTGTTAAGACGGCAACCTGAAGAGTCGTTGTACGAAATGGAAGTGAGCATCGGAGAGAAGGAGGAGTTGCGGCGAGCGCTATCCGATTTGGAGGAGGAACGGAAGACGGTTATGCGATTAAAGAGTGCGATCGAGAACCTGAAAAAGGACCAAACGCGTCATTCGGAGGTTCTTCGAGAGAACAGGAACCTGAAGGAGGAGGTGGAAGCGAACGCCAGGAGGATCGAAAGTATCGACGACGAAACGGACGCTCGGCGACAGAGACAATCTGATTTCGGACAAAGATCGAGCGACGTCCAACCTTAAGAAGGAAATCGCCACTTTCAGAGACGAACTTCGTGCCGAAATGGACAAGGTGGCGACAGCCGTGAAGGAACGCAGCGACGACGACGCCCGAAGTTCGGTGACGATCGAAAAGATAAAAGACGAATTGCGACTGGCGAACCGGGAAGCGGCGGCTGCAAAGGACCTCCAACGGCGGTCGGCGACGAAGCTGGAAGAGACCGAGAAGCAGGTGGAGAGTCTGAAGGAACGGTTGGATGAAAAAGGTCGCTCGACTGCCAACGCGAACAAGGAGATCGCCTCCCTCAGAGACGAACTTCGTGCCGAAAGGGAAAAGGTGGCAACGGCTTCCAAGGAAAGCAGCGACGGCGACGCCCGACGTTCTGCGATTCTCGAAAAGATCAAAGAGGATCTGCGATTGGCGACTCGCGGAGTGGAGACTGCCAAAGACAGGGAACGAAGGTCGGCGAAGAAGTTGGAAGAGAGCGAGAGGGATGTCGAGAGTCTGAAGGAATGGTTGGACGTAACGGAGAAGAATCACGAAGCGATCCTTCGCGAGTTTCGTTCTTCCGTCGAGTCCGACAAGGCGAAGGCGATCTCAGATCTGGAAACGGCCAAGGCTGATCACTCCGACAGGGCCGATATTCTCCGGACGGAGATTGCCGAACTTAAGGAAAAGCTGGCCGAGGCCACCCGAAAGGAGTCTTCGCTGATCAAGGATGTCGAGAACCGCACTGAAAGATGATAACGAAAGGGAGAGTAGGAGGATGGAAAAGCAGCTTTTCGATAAAGATCGCACGGCTATCGACTTGCGGAACGAGATCGACACCCTGAAAGAGAAAATGAAACGGAACGGAAGTAAGACGGACGATCAAATGACGGCCTACAAAGAAGAGATTGAAAGAAACGTGAAGAGGATGAAAGAGTTGGACGCTACGATCGCGAAGAAGATTCGAGAGGCGGCCGGTTTCGAAGACGAGATCGCCGTCCTCAAAGAAGGGAAGGAACGTGACGGACGGAAGATAAAAGGATTGGGGTGCAGCTTGCTCACCAGGGACGCGAGGCGACCGCTCTCAAAGACGATATAGCCGCATTGCAAACGGACCTCTCGAGAGCGCGCGAAGAATGCGCGGACGACCGGAGTGCCGAACTTTCCGTCCTTCTAGAAAAGACGAAAGACGAACTGCGACGGACGTCCCGCGATCTGGCGGCCGCCAAGGAAGCCGAAATCAGGCTGAAGTCGAACCATGAAAAAATCGAGAATGAAATTCTTCAGTGGAAGCAATGGGTCGAAGAATTGAAAAAGGCTCGAGACGAATCTCACGAATCCAACGCCAAGGAACTCGGATCGGAGAGGGAGAAATCGGACGCTGAAATTAAACTTGCAACGGCGAAGGCGAGCCACTCGGACGAGATTGAAAATCTTCGAACGCAGATATTTTTCCTTAAAGAAAAGGAATCGAAACTGAGAAGAGACACAGGTAAGTTGCATGCGGCCCTAAAGGAACGGGAAGAGAATTATGTCGATCGGATAGCTAAACTGGAATCCGATAAGATTTCGGAAGAGGCTCTTGACGAGTGCGCGTCCCTCTCGGAGAAACTGAAGCTCGCGACCGATTATGAACGTCGGTCGAAGGAGGACCTTGATAGGTGGCAAGCCGAGAAGAGGTCGTGGCAAGTGACGGCTGAACGACGTTCGGCAGATCTCGACAAGCTTCGCGACCTGCTGAAGACATCCGAGAGAGAACGCGCCAATCTTGAGTCCCAACTTTCGAACGTTGACAAGAATGTAACGGATTCGAAAGAAACGGATTCGTTGAAGCGGGAGCTGGAAAGACATCGACAGGAGATCCGACAACTCGAACGACTTCTGAGCTACGAAAAGAGGGAGAAGTCGGGTGAATCCAACGATAGAATGATTTCGGAACTAAGTAAAGAACTCAAAACGGTCATCGACGCACGCGATAGACTGGTGAAAGAGAACACCAAAATGGAAAAGAGGCTATCGGAATCGGAAAAAAGTCTGTCGAATTTGTACGACGAATCGATGAAAAAGGTTGTCCACCTCGAAGAATCGGTGTTTTCGAAGAACAAGGAAGCGGACGAATTGAGATCAGATTTGACGAAAACGAAGATGGAGATGGACGAGATGAAAAGACAACTCAACTTTGCCAATAACAAAGTGGCGGAGGCGTATTCCGAAGTGACTCGAATCGTCGAGAACTCGGAAGACGGACGATCCCACGAGGAATGTCGAGAACTTCTCACACGACGCCTCGATGAAGTGGAACGTTCGTTGGTAAAGGAAAGGATGAAGGCGGCCGATTGTGCGCAAAAGAACAAAGAATTAATGCGACATATATCCTATCTGACGAACGAAATAGAAACAGTAAATTACGGCCGAAGTGTCGAGCTAAGCAAATTGCGCCGATTACTGAACGATTGCAGACACGAAGGGTCTCCACGACAACGTCGGGAACCTCCCGGTCGCCGTAACGTCGGTCCCAGCTACAACGTCGTCGAAGACGCATGTTCCGGAAGTTCTGCGTGCGAATCCGAAGAGGAAGTGGACGACGACGTTAGCGAAGACGTCCTCGTCGGCAACTCCGAAGAAAACAAAACCCCCGTCCCATCCCGTTCGTCGTGGACTACCGACCGAGCTCCACCGCCTACGGAGGGTTGATCGGAGAGGACGAATGCTCGTTTCATCAGCTTCTGAACCAAGCAAGACGGTTCGTCGAGTCCGAGGACGAAGTACCGGAGGCGGCGAAGAGGTTGTCTGACAGGTACAGTTCGACGGCCTTCACGTCGACCGTGGTTTACGCTGATCCGCCCACGCCGGCCACCAGATCTCTCGCGAGGTTGATAGCGTTCATGGGAAAGATTCCCGGCGTGACGCTGCTGAAACCGAGCGAGTGCACGGTTCCCATCTGCTTCCTTTCGAGCAACGACCACGCCGGGTTCGCCGGAAGGGGAGACGCGCGCTACGTGCTTTTCGACGACGACGCCGAAAGTATAAAGTGGACGGACACGGATACGCTCGTCGAGTTGGCCGAGAGGATACTGGATCGCAATCTCGTACACGATGCCGGTGCGGTGATAGTGGAAGATGTTCGACGACATTGACGACCCGGCCACCAGTTCCGACAACTTCCTGCTTCTCATAAGCATCCCGCTTGCCGACATCGTACCTAACTGCGAAGAACGCGAGCGAGAGACGCGAACTCGTCACTTCCGTTTTCTGAATGTCTTTCGAAATGTGGACGAATCTCGAAGTGCGCGTGCGAAGAAAATGGTCGAGGTGGGCACGAGAGAAGAGGGCGATTGACGCCGACCGCCGTCTAGAATTATTCGAGGATGGTGAGCAAAAGGATGAGGACGACGAAGACGAAGACGATTCGTTGGAGGAGTTGTCTGTGGATCTGCAACGACGGTTGGAAGCTGTGTGCGGAAGCGGCACAGACGACGACGTCGTTCCCTTCTACGCAAGATGCTTAGTTGTAGCGGAGCACCTTCTGCAAGGGACGGATTCGGTCACGACGGAGTGCTGCACCATGACCGACTTCGACGCCGTGCTCGCGCGACACGTGCTGTTCCCTTGGACGAGCGAGCATTCGACGGTGATATCGAGGCGCCTGTCTGCACTCTGGAGGTTCGTGGTCGTCGTGGGCACCGTACCGGCGTTGCCCATCGGTTGTTGTCCGAACGTCGGATACCGGTGTTTCGTATGCAGGAAGGAGCAGACGGACGAGGAGTGCCACCATCTCGTCACGACGATCGCGAACGAAGGTACGGAAGACGAGGAGGATATCTGCTGCCGTGCGCCTCCAGTATTACCGCGTCTTGACTCTCGCCAGTCAACGAGACCGGAAGTCGCCGAGAAGGACGAGTTCGAGATCGCGAGGCGCGTCGACAAACGTGCGAGATCGGCCGCCGACAAGCTGAGGGTTGAGATCGAAAAGGAGATAAGGTACGCAGAAGCGTGCGTCCGATACGCCTCCCTTCCAAAGACCGTTAGTCTCGGTTGCATAGCGCACGTCGCGAAGCTCGTCTCGTTCGGAAAGCGCAGACGGCAGTTGACGTACGAGGAACGAGAGACGTTCGACCACAGGGATCTGGAAAGGTGGTCTCGAAATCTGCTGGAGTCGATGTTGGCCAATCCGTACAGGCGCGATCAAAGACGGGCCGCGATGGCCTCGTTCTTCCGTTTGGTGGTCGATCCGACCTCGGTGGTGAGGGACGCGTCGACGACGAGAAACGAGACCGCCTTCCTAACATGGATGGAAGCGTGCGAAGTGCCCGCCGAGAGCGTTTGCGATTACGTCGACGGACTGAAGGGCGTGACTCTGAAGACGAACGTCGAAGACGACCTTACTGGCCTGTACAAATGTCTACTCACCTGGCACGTGTTCCTAGCCATACCCGTTTCGGGGGAGGCGGCTCCTCTCGCATCATCAACAGGTGCGACGTGGACGGTATGCCGGACGCGGACGGTCTCTGCTTTTTGTACGACGACCGTCGCTTTCTGGTCAGGAGAGGGGACCGAACGATGACGTTCGTTTACGAGCGAGCGCTCGAATCGTGTGTGGCTTGGATCTACCACGGACCGTTACCGATGTCGTCCTCTACTGTAACGAACGTGCTGTTCCACGCTGGTTTCGGCGACGATCGACATGAGATCGGCGAACAGGAGGGCGAGACGCGCCGACATCTGAGACACGACCAGGTTTTGGATCCTGTAGTCGAGTCCGATCATGACGGTCACGCGAACTAGCACCTCGGTCGCGAAGAGCAGCTTGCCCTGTCCGTCGTAATATCTGTTCAGAAATATACCGATGGTATATCTTAGATTGCAGTAGAAGGTTATCGCAAAAAGTACAAGATTCGCAGAAATCAGATCCCGATACTTTCTTATCTGCTTGTCGTACGTATCCCCCTGCCAGTCGTACCGATCGAACAGACAGTAGAGAACGAACAGGAAGATTAGGAGCTCCGCGATGAGCAGAGCGAACTTCTCCATCCTTTAACGAATGCTTACAAAAACCGACACCCGAGAGTTCGATCGATCATAAGCAAACATGTTCGGGAAAAAAAGAGACGATCGTTTCGAGTACAAGAGCGTGGAATCGATGCGCAACGTGGTTTCCATGGAACAGAGGTTCGAGGAGAAGGCCGCGGCCGCTCGACGGAGCGTGGAAGCCGGGGTGAAGAACGGTGCCGGACCCCGAAAGTTGGCGTCCCTCATCAGACGCGCGTCAGATTACGAGCGTCTGCAATCGACTTCCCAGAAGGTGATTTACGATCTAGAGAAGGACGCCCTGTCTTCGGAAATGCGAAACATAGACGGTCTGCAGTACGAAAGGTTGAAACGAGAAGATCACGAACTCGGAAAATTCGAGAGCCTCACCGATCCCCGCAAACTATGCAGACGTATAGCGGCCGTGAAGGTCAGGAGGGACCGTCGCAAAGTGGGAGTGGAATCCATAAGGGATTTACTAGACTCGGAATCGGACGACGGGGACGACGACGAACACTCGCCCGAGATTCAACTCGCCAAAGACCTCATCGACGACGACGTCTGGCAGAAGGTGACCGAACTCCCGGAACCGTGTACAAGAAAAAAAGACGATCACTTTTCTTTGCAATAATTAAATTTTTTAAAGGAAAGAGAGAAATAAAAGAAAGAGAAAAAAAAACTTTTGTGTTTTCAATTCATTATTTTATTTTTATTGATCATCAGCAAGTTCGCACGAGGCGCAAGCATCGCGCGAGGTGATGGCGCCGCATCTGCAAGAACGCATCATCGCCAAGTCGGGTTGCTTGACTGTCAGCCGGACTCCGGCACCGTCGAGGGCCAAGGTCGTCAACCTTCTCGAGTGGCAGTTGTAGCACGCAGACTCCAGCGTGTTCTCGTCGATGTACATACCTTTGGTCGGAGGGCGGTTCTTGAACTATGTAGCAGTATCTGCATATGACGATGGACTCGGAACCGCTTCCAGGTTCGTACGTCTGATCGTACGCGTACTGCACCTGGGCGCATCTTCTCTGCACGAACAGAACGC